TATCACAAAACAAAGGAATATAATCCGGACTATGATTATGTGTGTCCCATCTGTAAAAGTAATTCAGCTGGAGCCAAGATTGCTGATCCGCTCGAACGGTCATTAGTTGATATGCAGTCTTCAGAGCAGTTTAATATCAAACATGTGGAAATCGAACCCTTAAATGGAAAACCTTGCATTGATGTCAACAGTGAAGATCCACTCAAATTGCCGAACACGAAGAAAAAAGTTTGCCTTACAAATATTCGCGGCAAAGGCGGCAAATTTGTGTTGCAACGCATGGGAGCCATATCGCAGCTTGGGAAGAAGCGCAGCACTAGGGGAAAAGGACGACAACTTGTTCTTCAAAGTGGTTCAAGCGATCGCTTTATTGGCCGTACCATGGATACAGATCTTTCGAGTGACAAGAAATTGTTATTGTGTTCGGCACGAGATAAGTTTGTGCTCGCGCAGGACATTTGCGTCATGTGCGGCAGTGTGGGAATTGAAAGCGACGCCGTTTTGATCACATGTGCGCAATGTGGCCAATGCTATCACCCTTATTGCGCCAGTGTCAAGCACTCGAGAGGCATGTTGCAGAAGGGTTGGCGCTGCCTGGATTGCACTGTCTGCGAAGGCTGTGGCAAAAAGAATGACGAGGCACGTTTGCTTCTTTGCGATGAATGTGATATCTCGTACCATATATACTGTGTGAATCCGCCATTGGAGACGGTGCCCCATGGCAATTGGAAATGTTCTTTTTGTACTATCTGTCAGAAGTGCGGCCGGAATCCGACTGAAAAAATCAACTTCAATGAACCAAGTGCACCTGAATGCTTGCCGTGCGCCAGCCAAAATAACTGCTTTGTATGCAAGAAAAACTACAGCGAAGGCGAGATGATTATTCAGTGTGAGCAATGCGAGCAATGGTCACATTTCTTGTGCGACTCCGTAAACGCGCAGCTCACAATGGAATACTATGATAATAATGTGTACAAGTGCATGAAATGTCGCGCCAGCACGAAAGCGATTTTGCCTGCCAATGCGAATACAAATTTAAATGAGGAGTCTACGGCGGCTTCGAAGCTCTTACCGGACGTGCCTCAAGAAGGAAAGGCAATGGGCGTCGCGGATCGGAATATTCGTTTGACAAACGAATTGTTCGAGAGCACAGAAGCTATACACTGGATAGATGGAGTGTGCCTGAGTGAAAATGGATTGAATATGATTAAATCACTCTCCACCGAAATTAAGCGGAAAAGAAAAATGCGTCAACCTATGGGTAATTCGAAAGATCCACAAAACGAAAGTGCAATCTCTGATGATGTGCAAGGTGATAAATATAAGGACGGTATGATTTGGGACAGAACGGAAACTGCAATACCGGATGGCTTTTCCATTTCCACCAACGATGATGGTGTACAAGTTCTACGCAAAAAACGACAGCGTAATCTGCAGAAGCTGGGTATCGGTGGATTTTCTGTTCGAAATCGGGCACTCAAAAAAGACAATGACGATACGATGGATCAACTGAATGCAATGTTAGTCGCTGACAAGAAAAAGAAAATAATACGCAAAAAACAAAAGAACAAAATCATCGAAGCGTATCCGCAATATTTACAAGAAGCTTTCTTCGGGAAGCCTCTTTTAGAATCTAACGAAGCCGTGCAATACGATTCCGAATCTTCAGATGAGATCGGATCCGCAGTGAAAATGTATTTTACTCCTTCAAGCGAAAAAGTCGCTGACAGTGATGGTGCTAATAAGAGCCCAGCGAAGTCAGTTAAGGGCGTGAAAGTTGAGAAAACTTTCAATGAGAACAAAAACGTATTCGCCAATCAATTCCCAACCACGACGCAACAAAATAAAAAGCTCGTAACCAGTGGAGCGATGATCGGTAGGTTTTTGAAAAGGCAGACATATTTCTTAATATAATAAGCCTTTTATTTGTTATTCAGATTCTTCTATGTCAGATATATCTAGGAACAATGCGGCGTCCAATATTGTGCATTCTATGGATACTTTGGTATGTATATTTAAAATACTA